GGCGTAAGTGTCTCGCGCGGACGCCGCTGCAGCTGCAGCTGGCCACTGCCAGACGCTCCCGTCTGACCAGCTCCAGGGCGACAGCCACGACGGCTACCGCCACAACCCCAACTAGCGTACCACTCGCGAAGCTGCTGGGGCGTGAGAGACTCGCGCGGACGTCGCTGGAGCTGCATCTGGCCACCGCCAGTAGCAGCAGTGGCAGTAGTAGCAACAGCAGCGCGGGCAGGGCAGGCGCGGCAGGCAGGCAAGCAGGCAGGCAGAGGGCGCGGCAGCGCGCGAACAAGGCAGGTCCTCACCAGTGGCGGGAAGGGCAGGCGCTCGCCGGGCGAGCAGGGCCGGCGCTCGGCGGGCGGCGGCAGGGTAGGCGCACGACAGCGGCAACGGCGGCTGCAGAGTAGGGCCGCGTCAGCGGCAGGGCGGGGCCGCGTCAGCGGCAGGTCGGGGCTGCATCAGGTGGAGGGCGGGGCCGCGTCAGCGGCAGGTCGGGGCCGAGTCAGCGGCAGGGCGGGGCCGCATCAGCTGCAGGGCGGGCCGAGTCAGCGGCAGGGCGGGGCCGCGTCAGCTGCAGGGCGGGGCCGCGTCAGCGGCAGGTCGGGGCCGCGGCAGCTGCAGGGCGGGGCCGCGTCAGCGGCAGGTCGGGGCCGAGTCAGCGGCAGGGCGGGGCCGCGACAGCGTCCTGGCGGGGCCGCGTCGGCGGCAGGCCGTGGCCGCGACAGCGGCAGGGCAGGGCCGTGTCGGCGGCAGGGCGGGGCTGCGTCAGCGGTAGGGCGGGGCCGCGACAACGGCAGGGCGGCGCCGCGTCAGCGGCAAGGTGGGGCCGCGTCAGCGACAGGGCGGGGCCGCGACCTGGCGGGGCTGCGTCGGCGGCAGGGTGGGGCCGCGACAGCGGCAGGGCGGCGCCGCGTAAGTGGCAAGGCGGGGCCGCGTCAGCTACAGGGTGGGGCCGCGACCTGGCGGCGCCGCGTCAGCGGCAAGGAGGGGCCGCAACTACGGCAGGGCGGGGCCGCGTCAGCGACCTGGCGGGGCGGCGCTCTGGCCTGACGGGCCTGCAGTGGCGGATCGCGGGCCTGATGGGCCTGCAGGGGCGGCTCGCGGGCCTGACGGGCCTGCAGGGGGCGGCTCGCGGGCCTGACAGGTCTGCAGGGGCAGCGCTCTGGCCTGACGGGCCTGCAGGGGCGGCTCGCGGGCCTTACGGGCCTGCAGGGGCGGCGCTCTGGCCTAGGGCAGCAGTAGGCAGCGCAAGGGCTGCAGGACGGCGCGCGGAGCGCAGTACATCACAAGGCAAGGCAAGGCAGGGGAAGGCAGGCACAAGACAACACGTGGGGTAGCGCGGTAACTGCAACGGTAGGTGGGCCCGAAAAAAAAAAGACGGTCCTACGGACCTAGTGCTCTGAAACCATGTCAGAATCTAGCAGCAGGAATGAATGAACTATAAAAGAATTGGGTACAAATATGAAACCCTAATGTGGGCTGTACCCCATATTGGCTACCCCACTACAGCCTAAACATATATAGCCGGGGTTTCCGCGATATACACGCTCTCGCGTAGCGGAGGGGGCTTCTTGAGGGGGGGGGGGGGGGGGGGGGGGTAGTGTAAGGAATTTTCTCGACATTCCTTAGCGCGCCCGACAACATCGCGTACAGCAGCAGCCGTTTTTCACCCGTTACTGCTAACGGAGCTCCGCCGACTTCGCGCACACTGTTTCACCAAACCTCGCACTGCTGGCCCGGCCGTGTCGGCCTACGCTTCGGGACTAGCCCGAACCTCGCTGCCAGCGTAGCACTAGCTAGCTCGCACGCACCGCGTTACCGTTTGCATGTTTCGCATATAAATGTTCGCTCATGCCTTCGCTCACATTTTGTACTCGTTTGACACCAATCTCTCGCTACCTAGATTCATTGCACCTGTAACAAATGGTAAGATCTCAATTGGAATGGAAAGCTACAACCTAAATCAAAATCTCGTCCTTGCAGAAGCATCACTTATAATTCGCGCTGTAACCAAGAATTGCTGCTTGAATGGTCCCTTGAAGCCGCGTCGTTCTGTGCGGGGGGAGGACATCTCGCGTTGTACACGCGTTTGACGCGCTATTCTTCTGGCATCGATTCCATTTTGAACAAAGCTCAGCTTGTGTTTGTGATCTGGTCCTAGCGATCAGATGGGTTTGGGTTTGAACAGCTGCTCTGTCTGTCCACCTCAGAAATACTGCTACAATCATTACATCTCTCCGTGTAGAACGGAAAGGGATCTACGCAAACCACTGAAGTCCCTGCCATCGATTTTGTGATGATGAAAGTCCCATGGGTATATCCAGCCTTAAAAATCTTTGCACAAGTCACGCACGTGGGTATCTGCCTTGCAAACCCGCATTGGTTTTGCAGGTGACCCTAAAGCTGGGCTTGTTGTGGGGATAAACCAGTTTTACAAAACTTGTTGATCCCAATCTTCCTTCTGAGTGAAAGGAAAAACATTTCTACAGCTGCTGATCGAGTACAGTACTCTGCGCAAAAGTTACCCTGACAAGTGTGTGATTTTCCAGATATTCTTGGATTTGATGTGAAGCACGTGATGCACGGAATTTGCGAAACTATGAAATTCAACGCGGAACCTGGGAAACAGTAGAGCATGGCTGCACTGTACTGTACACATCCCCATTTTGATTAGTGTACAGTACAGGCTTAAATTTCCAACCTCCAGTCAGAATTCCACTTCATGAAGGTCTCTGGCAACTGACCGAGATACAGTTCTTATTTCACTCGAACCCAAACCAAGCAGTGAATCTGGCGTGTCACAGCCTGGAATGTTTTTGAAGAATCTTCAACAGCACTAGACATGGTCCAAGCTTTTGAAGAAATTATGGGCATTCTACAAGTTCGGGTCGACTCGACTCAAGCTTCCTCCCAGCTGGAGAATCGGTTGCTTGATGCGCTGGCTGTTCTGGCTCTAGGTTTGTGACTCACTTGATTATCTGTGGTCGAAAGTGGTTCGATGAGTTAGTAACGGACAGGGAGCAATCATTATCACAATCGACTCCACACATGTCAAGTGTTTGTACTACGTTCTCCACAGATTTGCACGGTGTTTGGTGTACACAATAAAGTATCATTTGCGGGAAGGTTCACACATTCTTCCAAAGGTTCATGTTATGCTTTGCTTATTCTAGTTTTCCACCGCCGACGTAATCTCGGGCAGCCCTAGGTGTGCTAGTTCAGGTACCCTTACTCCAATGTCATCATGATTGCACAATATGTTCGTGAGGCTGCTCCAGCTACACACTAGATTTTGGGACCAGCTAGTTTCGAAAAATCTCACTACTGATCTGGAAGGATGGTGTGGTGCATCGGCTCTGGTTGCTCTGTCGATGACGAGTCGAGAACTCCGTCTGCAGGAATAGCCAGGCATCCGATTCTAGCTAGGGAGGATGTGCTCGGATTCTTTCACAAAAGAACGGCCTCTTGAAAATTGGAACTCGCCCTCTCAAAAGGGCTAGCTTAGAATTCTCAGCGGGCACCACAAAATAAACATCACCCTTCGCTGGCCTTTCGGAGTGATTCGATTCTCCAAGCTGGCGATACCAGACGATGCCCTCATTTATGCCAGACTAGCCAAGCCAAACGAAGACAAGCCACCACCGTCGAGCAGACCCGCCACGATAGGCCAGAAACACACATGCACTGATTCCAGCTTCAACGAGCAAGGATACACTCTGGCGGTAGCGCCTCGAGCTGGCCTGTGCTGCTCACTTCGAGAGGAAGGGCCCTTTACAAAATCATTTTCTCTTTCATCCCGCTCTTGCTGATCGCGGACAAACACCGAGACTCCGCCACACAAGTCCCCAGCAAGTCTTTCCAGTTGGCGATGCTACGTGTCTTTCACTGAACAGACTGATGAACACTGACGCAAGGCTGGAAGGTTGTCAAACCTAGTCCATTCCCTCTCGAGCCATTGTAACGATACCACTACCCACCCTCCCACAAGCGTCTAACTGATGCCAATGTCCTCTCATGAGCCCATCGTTCAGAGCACATGAACCCTCAGCCGCGCTACCAAGCTTCACGGTGGCTGACTTTCTCGTCCAATCGTCGTCCTACCTCGGCACGTGCTCCATGCTTCATGCCTCACTACTTTTATAATTCGTTCTGTATGCAACGCCGGCAGTTGTCGTACATTTCCTCTTCCACCCCAGCTCAGTGTTAGTGTCCTCCTGCGCATTTGAACAATAATCAGGCCTCAGCAGCCTCGTTCTCGCTCGGCTTGTTGCTTATGTGTTGTTACTAGCTGTACCTACTAGAAACGTTTTTTTCAACCAACTCAATTTTCAACAAGTCGTCGGCAGTCACCCTGGATCAATCAACGCGCACTCGCACAGCGAGTGAGGCCTTCAAGCTGCCACGGTCCAGTCCGGTTCCGCGGCTGCCGCTACCGCTGCTGCAACTACCTCTGCCTGCGCGCTTCTATGGACGCCAATTATACTCCGTCAAAGTATAGCGATCTTCTCGCCGGCAATCGGCGCACGACGCTGCAACCGGGGCGCGCGAGCAAGCACCGGCAAATCCCGCCTGTCCGTTCCCTCTCCGCGGCCTCTGCCGCCTCCGCGGGGTCCTTTTCCCCCCAATCCTCCGCCTCTTTTCTCGTTCCCGCCAAGCCAACGCAAAGGCTAGTATCTGCTCATAGCAACACCCACATCGTTCCCGATCTTTTAGTGCTGGAGCGGCCGCATTGCCCGCCGCCTCCGGCGCCTCCGCGGCTGACGTCGCGCAACGAGACCAGCCAACGTCAGCGCATCAGCCGCTTTTTTTGCGAGGTGTCTGCCGAGACGGCGACTCACTCCGCCGCCGCCGCCAGCGCCGCGCGCTGCGGCTCGTCGCGCCGCAAGCGCGAGGACTCCGAGTCGGTCGCGACTCCCGCTCCGGAAGGGTCCGGAGCGGTCTTATTCGGGCATCGAATCATCCCGCACGTTCACTCCCCCCCCCCGGCGTCGCTCCCCGCAGGCATCATGTCGCGGTGGCATGGGGAAGACGGGGAGCTGCCTAGAAAACGACCGCGCGCCGCGCCGGAAACTGCGGGCGCTCCTTCCGCGCTGCAGGCATTCAAGAACGAACCCAGCGACAGTGGCACCGCGGATCTGCGCCATCCCGCGCAGCTGCCGTCGCCACAGCAGCTGTCGCTAACCGCGTCGACTCCTCTAGGGGACCCGTTGGGCCTTTCCCCGTACCCTTACGGGCCTGGCGGCGGCGTCGGCTCCGCAGGGGAGACGAACGCGCTGCATTTGGAAACGCCCACGCGCGGCACCCGCGGGCTGTCCCCCCCCGCGGGTCTAGACGCCCGTCGCCGGTTCCATGGCTCCTCCTCCCTCTGGGCCTCCGCCGGCGGGGATAGCGTCGAAGGCGCGCTCGCCCCCGGCGGGGGGAGCGGCGCTGTCGGCGGAGCCACGGGGGGCGCAGATCGCCCAGAATCAGCGGGCGCGCGCGCGTTCTCCTTCCTGATGCCCGCGGGGAAAGGCGCGTCCGCCTTGCTGTCTCCGCCGCAGGTCCCGTGGACGGGCGGGGCGGGGAAAGGGAGGGAGGAGGAGGTGCAAGGGCGGGAGATGCAGCTGCTGCCGTTCGCGCCGCTCGATCGCGCGTTCCGCGGCCGAGGGGAAGGGGAGGCGAGGAAGGCGGAGGAAGGGGGTGACGACAACGGCGCGGCTGATCCGCGCTGCGCCGCCGACGGCCAGGGGTTGTTGGCCCGCGGCGGCCCGGGGATGTCTGGGGCGAACATCGGGGAGGCCGCCGCGTTTCGTCGCGCGGACACGATCAGCAGCAAGACGCGTCGAAGCCACGGCGTGGCGGCGTCCGCGCGAGACCAGCAAAGCGCCGCTGACGCGGCGGCGATGCAGCACGCGCTGCGGCTACAGATGATGACGCATCAGATGCCGCTGTCCTTGGAGTCTCAACTACAGCTGGAGCGCGGTTCGATCGCTATATCTGCCGCCTCTGCCCCTGCTGCCTCCGCTTCTGTCTCTGCTACAGTCGCCGCTTCTGCCGCCGCGCTCGCCGCTGGTGCGGCCGCCACGGCCGCAGCTGGCCGGACCTCGCCCACGTCGCTGATGCTCCCGCGCGCTCCGGCGGGGCATTTAACGCAGCGGGACCGCGTGCACATGAGCTTCAGCAACGCAAGCCCTCTCCACGCGGCTAATGCGGCGGCTACTGCGGCGGCAGCGGCGCAAATCGCTGGGGCGATGGGATCTGCAGCGGCCCGTCCCTTCCTGGTTCCGGGCTCTGGTTGGACCGCTGCGACTTCCGCCACAGCCGCCACCGCCTCAAGCGCCGCCCCCGCCAGCGTCGCGCCAGCCGCCGCTACCGCGACCTCTGCCGCGCACTCGGCGGCGCAAGGCCTGGCGCGCGCGCTCGGCGCGGGCGCGAGCTGGACGGGCCCGCGCAGGTTCCCCACGGGGCCTAGTGAGGGGCCGATCGCGTCCGTTGCGGACAACGGGGGCGCGCACGCGGGCGCGCACGGGGGCGCGGAGAGAGATACGGGGAACCGGGAAGCGCTCGCCGCTACTCTCGCTGCCGCTGCCGCCATGGCCGCTGCTGCTGTCGCTGCAGCAGGGGGGGAGGGCGGAAAGTGGCAGCAGGTGGGGCAGGAGATGCAAGAGTGGGCGGCGCAAGGGATGGCGGAGCGGGATGTGCGGGCGAGAGGGAGGGAGGTGTCATCGCATAATAGCAACTCAGGGCTGCAGCTGCAATCCCTGCAGCAGCAACAGTATCTGCAGCAGCAGCTCCAGCAGCAGCAGCAGCAGCAGCAGCAGTTTACCAGGGAGCAGCATGCAACGTTCCCTGGAGGCGGTGTGGGGGGAGGAGCTATCTTACCTGTATGGTGGAACGACCACATGGCTTCCCTCATTGCGGCATCGCATGCTGCTGCCATCGCTGCCGCCCCTGCCGCCCCTGCTGCCCCCGCTGCTCCTGCCCCTGCTAATTTCCTCCCTGCAATGGTCCCCCCAGGGGCTCCAACCCCTCCTCTTCCCCCAGCCGCAGCAGCGGCAGCGGCAGCGGCGGCAGCAGCCGCAGCAGCAGCAGCAGCAGCAGCAGTGGCGTCGGGGGGCATGCACGCGCAAGGTGGTGTGGGCGTATCTGGAACACCTACCCTTTCCGCTCTTCAACAGCAGCAGCAGGCGAGGAGACAGCCCGTTACAGCTCCTCCCCCTGCAGCAACAGCAGCCGCCGTTGCCAGGACTCGAACTCCCCCTGTTCCCGGCTCCGCTTCAGCTGCAGTGGCCGACGCAGCAGCAGGTGCGGCGTTCAGGAGGAGCCTCTCTTTCTCTGCTGCTGGGGCTGCTGCAGCTGCAGCAGCCACGCCTGCTGGGACAGCAGGGGGGAGTGGTGGCAGTGGCAGTGGGGGTACTGGGCGGCGTAGGCAGACCACGTCAGCAGGAACAGGCACCCAGATCACTTCCGCTGCCCCTGCTGCCGCTGCAGCCGCCGTTGCTGCCGATGCCTCTGCTAGCGCTGCTGCTGCTGAGGAGGGCGGATCTCCTGCTGCTGCGATGGCAGCAGGGGGGAGCGCAGGAGGAGCAGCGGCAGGGGGGAGTGTGGGGAGCCGGCATAAGCTGTGGTGCAGCGAGGACGGGTACAAGTGCAAGGAGTGCGGCATGAGGTTCAACAACGCGCAGGCCCTGGGCGGACACATGACCGCACACACCAAACGGCGCAGGTCCAACTTCTCGGGGTATACCTTCAGTGATGCTGGCTCTACTCCTGCCTCCTCTGCACACGTGGCTGGGACCACCTCTCTCGCCCCGCCCCTCCTGCCCCCTGCTGGCGATGCCGCACGCACAGCAGCTGTGGGAGCAGCGGGAGAAGCAGCAGCAGGAGAAGGAAGGGTGGGAGGTGGCACAAGGTTGGCAAGTTTTGGAAAGTTGGGAGGGATGGCGCCTACTGCTTCTCCTGCGGCTTCTGGCGCTACTGCTGGTGCTACCGCCGGCCCTGCGGGTCCTACTGGTGCTGCTTCTGCTGGTGCTGCTGCTGGTGGAGCAGGTGGGAGGGGTCAAGACACAGGAGCGACAGCTATGATGGCTGCTGCTATGGCTGCGGCTGCAGCAGCAGTGGCAGCCGCATCAGGCGGTGGTGCAGCAGCTGCCGCAGCAGCAGTAGAGCCAGTTCTAGCCAGACTGCTAGGCCTGGGGTCACCCAGTGCGCTCTTAGAAATGGCACGCAGTGGGGGGGTGCTGAGAGGGAGTGGAGGTGGAGCGAGTGATGTGCGGGGAGAGGGAGAAAGGGAGGTTGCTTTGAGAATGCAGGTTCAGGAGCAGCAGCAACTGCTGCGACTACAGCAGCAGCAGTTGCAGCAGCAGCAGATGCAGTTGCAACAGCAGCAGCAGCATCAACAGCAGCAGCAGCAGCAGCAGCAGCAGCAGCAGCAGCAGCAGCAGCAGCAGCAGCAGCAGCAGCAGCAGCAGCAGCAGCAGCAGCAGCAGCAGCAGCAGCAGCAGCAGCAGCAGCAGCAGCAGCAACAGCAGCAGCAGCAGCAGGTGCGGCAGCAGCAGGCTGAGGAGATGAAAAGAGAAGGCGGGGAGGAAGTGGAGTGGGATCCTAAGAGTCTCTTTGCCTCTCAGCCCACTCGCACTCCCAGCAAAGAATCACCACTGCAACGGTCACTCTCCCTGCTGTGTCCTTCACTGCGTGGCGTGGCAATGCACGCACCAGCTGCTCCCCTCCCACCCTCCCGTCCTCCTACCGCTCCTCCTCCCCCTCTGCACATTCCCTCTCTCCCCACCACCGCTCTCATGCATGCCCTGCAGCAACACCAACAGCAGCAGCAGCAACAATACCAGCACCAAGAGCAGCAGCAGCAGGAACTGCTATTCCAACACCAACAGCTACTGCTCCAGCAACAACAGCTGCAACAAACCACCCAGGCCCCTCGCCAAGCATCCCAGTCCATAGCCCCCTCAAGAGCTCTCGTCACCAGAGACGCCGTTGAGACAACAGCTGTACGCACTCCTGTTGCAGCTCAGCCCTTGCCAGCTAGCGCTGCTGCTGCTGCTGCCGCTGCTGCTGCCGCTGCTGCTGGCGCTGCAGCTCCTCCTGTGGATGCCCGTGCAGGGAAGGAGGAGCCCGAAGAGGACGATCCGGATCGTGGTTTAGGGCTGAACCTCAGGCTTACACTGTGACGTCTATTGCAGACGGTATACTGGCAATTGTTTTCCTTTCCTTAGGTATAGTTGCTTACTTCAGCTGCTCCTGCTGTCATATGCACTTGATTCTAGGTTATGTCTCTAGTAGAGGCTTTGCTTGTAGTGGTTGAGGTATGGATATCGTGCTAGTGGAACTAAAATACTAAATAAAGTGGTAGTGTGTTTTGCATTTGCTTTGCACTACGGAACTGTTTTCCCCTTCGCATGCAAGACATGGAAGAGTGACGGCTTGCACAATCCACATGGTGTCTAATTACCAGTACCCGGTATTAGTGTCGTCTTAGCAAGTGATCGCCTCGACTCACACCACAACTTGGCTAGTGCACGGGTGCAAGAACGTATGCGGTGCTGCGTGTTCTGCATAATGAACCACCAGGTGAATCACGATAGGGGCACCAAGTTGGCACTAAATGACCATGTACACGCTTTGGGGTCCATGAATCCACGAACGTGCCGTACGTGCTTTTCAGTGTAAAAAATGTGGGTATGCGAAGTTGGATGTGCAATGCGTGCATTATGGTTTGTGCATTTTCTGAACATAGTGTTGACAATAGACTCGTCCGTATAAAGAGAGGTTTGTCAAAAGGTGGTACATAGTGTGATGAATAGTGGCTGTTGTAACTGGTGGATAACGGCATGCAGTGGAGCTGATTATGGTACAAAGAAATGAAACTTTAATTTCCTTGTACGGTAGCATCTTAATTCTTAATATTTTCCGCTAGTGCAATCCTAGCTCTCTCGCTCTATTGCTTACGTAACATAGCAACGTTCGCCAAAACCACATGTAGCATGCCAGTGATGCTTTTCTCTCCCATACTTACGCGTTCCATTGTCAATGACACCTTGTCATCACCCATTTGGTGGCGTCGTCCACGGCAATTATTCAAATATCGCTTTTCGCAGCCGTTGGATGATCGCGTCTCAGGTAACGAACAGTCAAGATCCGCTTCACCAAGGCTGACATATCGAGCTTGAAGAGCTTGGAATCTGTACCATTGATTAGTAAAGCTGGTGCAAAGTCGACCGTCGAATGAAAGATTGAGATGCGCTCCGCGGAATGCGGTGCAAAACTCCCCAACCCAGCCAGGCTGCTGCTGATGATGCGCTCCCATTTCACCATTATTCTCGCTCATCCATTTCTCCTCAGCACTTCCCAAACAAACTCGCGAAACCATGACAGCTTGAATCTCGTCTGCAGGAAAATATCGTGGTGGCCTTGAAGCGCCTTCCCACTTCATTTTGGTCTCTTCATCCAACATTACCATTCAGCACAATCTGCTTTCGTACATTGCTCCTACGCCGCTACACGCACTCACTCTCCTCCGCGGGGATTTTCCACACGGCCGCTACACCCCCACTCGTTCTCTCCCGGCCCTCTTTCCGCTGTTGTCGCCTCTCCAAATTGGCGCGAATACCGCATGGCGCTTTCAGGCATCAAGCGCAAGTGGGACTGGGCCGATTCGCTGCGCCAAGCCGCGTCAATCAAAGCAGCACCTGACGACTGGCCGTCACCGCCTTTCCATCAGCCGCCGCCCGCGCCGCTGCTGCCAACACAGACCCATATTCCGCCCACCGTCTCGCCGATTCTTAAGAGACCAAGATCGGCTTCTGACCGAGACTGCCACTTCCCTCACCCGCATCCCGTTTCCTCATCCGCCGCCGTTCTTGCTAATGGGATTCATGGCGCGCCGCGAACTTCCGTAAAGAACTCCGGACCGCGTGGCCACCTGGACGTGGAGATTAATGCCTCGCATGGCGCAGCAACCGCGCCGGCCGTTGCTCCTGGGGACGAGCCTAGCCGCAAAGGAGCCGCGGCGGCGGCGAACAGGACAGCCGTCGCTGGTGATACGAATATGGATGGTGGAGTGGCGCTGAAAGAAGGGACGGAATCGGGGACGACACGAGGCGGCAGACTCGAAGAGGGTACGGCAACGGCCGGGAAAAGCAGGATGGGCGCTGCGACACTGGTGATGCAAATGGTGCTCGCTCAACTGAGCGCGAACCAGCAACGACATCAAGCGACGCTAGCGACGAAAGCTGCGACGGCAGCGACGGTGACGGCGAAGGTGACGACGGCGACGACCCATAGTGGTGTGGGTGGAAATCGCGAAGATTCTGCGAAATGGTGCTGCGTCACACCGCCATCGCAAAATCCAGCCGCCGTTGCGGCCACCGCCGGCAATGCAAGTGGCAGCGCCAACGCGCAACCGCCGCGGGCGAATGCGACCGGTAAAGCCAACCATAGAAGCAACTCCACGGCAGCTGTCGGGGGAGCTGCAGGCGACGGCGACTCGGTTCCGGTGCTGCTACTACCGCCGCCCGTCGCACTCCCTCCCCCTGCGCCTCAGGCGGAGGCCGTGGCGCAGAGTCGAGCGGCTCCCCTCGCTGCGCCAGACTCCCGCGGCCCTGCTGTGAATGTCGCACGCCGCTCGGGCCTTCGAATGAATGCTCGGTTCCCGCCCAGTCACACCGCTTCAAAAAGCTCTCCACCGCCTGCCTCCGCCAACGCCGTCTTTCCTCGTAATGCGGCTAGTACCAGTACCACCGTTACAGCTGCACTTCCGTCCGCTCTCCCAACACGTCCCGCTCCCGAGTCCTCGACTCGCCAGTGTAATGCAACAACGGCACCCGTCAAGAATCTCGAACCACGCCCCACCGCTCCCGCTAACGGCTCGCCCAATAACCGCGTGGGTGATGGTGCCAGCGGCAATGCTGCTACTAGAGCCGTCGGGGGTGCTGGCCCGGGAAGGAGCATGGTGTCCGTTCCCGTGTCGCTGCTGAGCCGGGTCCAAGTGCTGACTGCGCTGCTGCGCGCGCGGGGACTAGAAGAGAAGAACGCCGTAGCGCTCGCTATTCTTGTTGCTAGCAGCGGTGCTGGCGGTGCTGGTGGTGCTGGCGGTGCTGGTGGTCCTGGTGTTGGTCATTTCGCTGGTGCTGCTGTTGGCGCCGCGACTGCTGCTGCTGCTTCGTCTTCCAATCAGTGGGCGTGCCTTCCGCCTCTGGCGCCTCGACGGATTTCAACGCAGCGAGACGCGTCGCCGCCACTTGTTCAACGCAAGCTAGCGCAGCAGCGAATGCATCATCAAGGCGGGCTGCAGCAGCACCAGCAGAGGCAGCAGCATCAGCAGCAGCAGCAGCAGCAGCAGCGAGAGGTGCAGCTGCCGCCTCAGACTCCCCCTCAGCGAGAGGCTCCGCAGCGGCCCACTCACCTACCCCGCCCCCACCACCCTCGACCCAAGCCCACGCAGAAGCAGCAGCAGCTTCAGCAGAAGCAGCAGCAACAGCAGCAGGAGCAACGGCAGAAGCAGCAGCAGCGGCAGCAGCAGCAGCAGCAGCACCAGCATCAGCAGCAGCAGCAGAAACAGCAGCAGAAGCAGCAGAAGCAGCAGCAACAGCAGCAGGAGCACCAGAAGCAGCAGCAACACCAGCACGAGCAGCGGCAGCAGCACCACAATGCGGGTGTGAGCCCACCAGGCACCCCGCCATCGGCTGTAGCAGCTACAGCCGAGCACCCCTGCATGCACAGCCCGTGCAACAGCTCCAGTCGAAACTGCCGGTACCGTGCTGGAGGCAGCAGCAGCAGCAGCAGCAGCAGCAGCAGCAGCAGCAGCAGCAGCAGCAGCAGCAGCAGCAGCAGCAGCAGCAGCAGCAGCAGCAACAGCAACAGCCGCGGTGGCACCGGAGGCAGCAGCAGAGGCAAAAGCAAGCGGCCGGCAAGACCCAGTCGGAAGGAGAAGGTTTCCTGTGCTGAACGTTCCAGAGCAGTTCAGAGGTCTCGTGCGCAGCGATTGGGTATCACTGCTTGCACTGCAGCTGCGGGTGAGGAGAAACCAGGGAAGGGGGCTGTGGAGGTCGGAGCGGCAACTGGCCCTGGGAAGGAAGTCTGTGAAGGGAAGAAGCAGACTGGTGTGGTGTGCGCTCCCCCTGGTGTAGCTAAACCTGCTGGTGATACTGCTGGCAAGGCCGCTGTTGCTACCACTGCAACCGCTTCTACTGTCGCCACTGCGGCTGCTGCTGGGTTTGATTCGGTTGCGTCCACGGCCATCCCTCCTACATCTGCCAGCATTCAGGGTGCTGCAGCACCCGTTGCTGCCCCGGCAGCCAGCTCACCTCTCCTCCTGCTGGCTAATGCACTCCCACAACCAGAGCTTGAGGTACACCACTTGAAGTCGCATCATCACCGCATCGAATCCCACTTCAAAGCACATCAGCGCGACGTTTGCCATGGAGTGGGTGCACCGCAGGAGCAGGCGCAGCAAGAGGTGAAGCGGAAGCGCAGTGGAGGCACCGGAGGAAGAGACGAGGAGAGTGTGAGGGAGGAGGGCAATGAGGGAGGGTCGATCAAGCGGCGGCGAGAAGGGGACCAGGGTATGCGGATGGAAATGGGGATGGGGATGGAAGTGGTGGAGGAGCAGAGTGGGAGCAGCAGTGCCCTGTCATCTCTGGCTCTGGTGGTGGGAGCGATGAGCAGTGCGAGTGGAAAGGGGGAGTGAGGGGTGGCGAGGAATCAAGTGGGAAGGAGCCAATACATGATTGTGGTAGTGCAAATTCCAGAGGTGATAAGTGGAGGGAGCTGGTTAGGTAGGTAGTATCAGTGCTATAGCAGTTAGTGCTGTAGCAATCTTTTGCAGCAATTTTTTAGATAAGCATGTGCTGCAGCAGTTAGTGCCCAAGCCAGAGATTGTGCCTTCCAAAAGTTATGGCCACAAACATGACATCAAAAATTTGCCAGCATTCCTTAGCCAATAAATGGCAATCTTACGCAAACCACCATGCAACACTACAGTGTACAAGTGCGAATCTGAGTGAGCGAGCAAGGATTGCACTATCTACGTCAGAGAAAATACATGTGAGAGGATGCATGAGCGAACATTTATAGCAAAACTGAGGTACGGTAATGGTCAATGATCAAACTGTTGAGGTGACAGTGCTGAAGCTTGGAAAGAACCGAGGTATACGGTAGGATCGGGCTGAGGGTTACCAGCGGAGGCATGTGGTGGCTCAGGCACGCTGGTAAGAATGTATCAGATGGGCGAATTTTGCAAGGTGGTAATAGGAAAGAGTGGAGAAGTCGAACGAGCTCCTAATAGCGCTGTGTTGCAATGTGCAGCAATGTCCGAAGAGTGGTTATATATGTCAAATGTTGTAGCCTGTAGTGAGGCTTGTCTTATGGGGTACAAATATTAGGGTTAGGCATATGTACCCCAACCCACATCAATTCAACCACAATTCAGTTTCTGACGTGGTATCACCTAGGTTAGGATCCAGTAGGATGCCGTTCCTTGTCAAGATAGCAAGCAGGAATGGTTGCATTGAATGAAATGTGGGTACAAGTACTAACCCTAACTTCGGGTTGTACCCCATATGGGCTACCCCACTATAGCCTACACAGAACTAACACATATATAGTTTGACACACCCCCATAGGCAAAGTGGGGGAGAACAAGGGGTCACAAGACCAGTCAAGAAAAGCAAAGCAAAGCAAACTCGGAGTGGATCACAACGTCACCACACACTCGAGCACAAGCAAAGGGGCCACAAGGCCAGTTCACATGCAGAGGTATATATGCAACAACAACAGTACAGTGATCACTACCTAGCAAGAGTAAACATGCAGGTATACATATATAGATCACAGTACAACCAGAGTCTACAGCAAGTGAGGAAACATAGGCACCAGGCCTAGAGCAGTGCAGAAGCGCTGATGATCACCAGCCGGAAGGGCCTTGGCGAACACATCAGCAGTGTTGGCCCGGGTGGGCACGTGAGCGACACGAAGCTGACCACGCTGCTGCAACTCTCGAGCAAGGAAGTAACGCAGAGCGATGTGCTTCGTTCTGTGCTCCAGTCTGTGGTCCTGACACAAGGCAATGGCAGCCTTGTTGTCGACGTACAGAACTGGAGGAGAACGAGGCCTATCTCCCAAGTCGGTCAGCAGGTAGGTAAGCCAGCGTAACTCCTGTGCAGCCATGGCTGTGGCGTAGATCTCAGCCTCACAACTGGAGCTGAGAACAGAAGACGAGCGTGTAGACCGCCAAGAAACAGAGCCAGAGCCAAGACTGAAGGTGTAACCCTGTGACGACCGCTGTCGTCAACCCAAGAAGCGTCCGAGTGCCCAGTGAGGACAACGTCGCCCCGTCCTCCAAGCATGAGCCCCATGCCCGATGTACTGCACAAGTAGCGCAGTACCCTTTTAGCAGCATCCATGTGCACCTTTCGGTGCCTACCAGGAGCCACGTAGCGAGCGAGGAAGGCCAAGAGGGTACGCAAGGTCAGGACGAGTGCAGGTCATCAAGTACATGAGGCAGCCCACTAGCTCTGGGTAAGGACCACTCGGCTCTACGGACTCGTCCGAAGGTGGAGCTGAGAGCGAGTGGCCTGTAGCCAGAGGAGTGGCCTGTGCCGAGGACCAGATGAAGCCAAAGCGCTGAAGGACCTGCTGCACCATGTGTGACTGAGTCAGTGTGATGGTGCGGCGTGCTCTGTCCCGGGTGATCTGCAAGCCAAGGTAACTGCGCAGCTCACCCAGGTCTGTGTACGTGTGTCTCTTCTGCAGCTCCGACTTCACCAGGGCGAGAGCCTCTGTGTCAGCAGTGACAAAGACCAAGTCGTCGACATACACGAGGATGTAGAACGGCGGCAGCGAAGTGTCGGTGCGCAGAAACAGCGACGGGTCAGCAGTCGACGGAGCAAACCCAAGAGCCGCAAGTGTCGTCCTCAGTGTGTCATGCCACTCACGTGGCGCCTGGCGGAGACCGTAGACCGGCCGCCGGAGGCTCCACTGGGTACCAGGAGGGAACGACCCAGTGAAGCCAGGCGGGCGGCGCAGCAGATCTCCTCGTGCAGGCTGCCCTGTAAGAAAGCTGTGCTGAAGTCAAGAGAGTGAAGCTCGTAGTCACGCTGAGCGGCAACGTGCAGCAGCACCTGAAGAGTGGCCATCTTTAGGGTGGGGGAGAAGGTCTGGAAGAAGTCAACTCCCTCTCGGTGACTGAAACCTCGAGCAACGTAACGAGCCTTGAAGACAGGCGGAGAACCTGGCGGCCGCTTCACCCTGAAAATCCACATGCCATCAACGATGTTCGCCCCAGGAGGGGGAACCTCGTCAACGTAAGTGCCTGTGGACTTCCAGGATGCCATCTCTGCATCCATGGCTGTCTGCCACTGAGAGGAGTACTCACCCGCGATCGCCTCAGCGTAAGAGCGCGGGGTCGGGATGTCTGGAGCATCCGGTTCTCCCTCAGGGGCAAGTAGCATGGCCACGAGATGAGGCGCATCAGCTGCAAGACACTCAAGGTCCTCCTGCTTGTCCTCAAGGACGTCCATGCCAAGAGCACACTCACCCCCGACGGACGGAGGACAGAAAGACTCAGACTCAACAACAAGACTAGCGGCGTAGTCTAGACGACAGGCAGCAGCAAAGTCAAGCAGCTCAGCGACGAAGGCAGACGCAGCAGCAGACTCAAATGACGGGTCAGTGACAACAGTGGCTAGCAGACGTGTGACAGTAGGGTGCTCAGCACGAAACCGGTCAGACTCAGGGTCAGCAACGACAGGCAGAGAAGACGCAAGAGGAGACGGCAGAGGAACACGCTGCGGAGCAGAGGACGGACGCAAAGCCATGAGGTGTGTGCCGGGGACAGCCGGCGGACGCGGACGAGGAACACGACGACCAGTGCGGACAGGCGAGACAGGACGCGACGCAGGCTCACGACGCTCAGCAAGACCTCCTGGCTGCTCAGTGTAAGGAGAAGGAGCAGGTAGCGGTGAGCCAGGCTGTAACGGAAGACCAGTAGACGACGGGAGGCTAAGAACCTGGTGAAGCACGGAGTCAGGCGGTGGCAGAGACGACGGAGACGGCGGAGCAAAGAACACTCGTGGCTGCGCAGCGCCACCAGCACCCGCAGCGCCACCAGCACCAGCACCTCCAGCACCACCAGCAGCTCCAGAACCTCCAGCTCCAGCGCCTCCAGCAGCAGCACCTCCAGCTCTAGTGACTCCAGCAGTAGCACCTCCAGCTCCAGCGCCTCCAGCAGCTCCAGAACCTCCAGCTCCAGCGACTCCAGCAGCAGCACCTCCAGCTCCAACGCCTCCAGCAGCAGGACCTCCAGCTCCAGGGACTCCAGCAGCAGTACCTCCAGCTCCAGCGCCTCCAACAGCTCCAGAACCTCCAGCTCCAGCGCCACCAGTAGCAGCACCCCCAGAACCGGCACCTCCAGCCTCACGGTCCCCAACTCCAGGGTCGACAGGACCAGCGCCAGGGCCTCCAGCAGCAGCACCCCCAGAAACGGCACCTCCAGCTCCAGGGTCTCCAACTCCAGGGTTGACAGCACCAGCTCCAGGGCCTCCAGCCCCAGTACCTCCAGCAGCAGCACCCCCAAAGCCGACACCTCCAGCTCCAGGAGCAGGTGCAGTCCCGGCAGCTCCAGTACCTCCAGTACGAGCACCTCCAGGACCAGAGACACCAGCACTCCTAGCGCCTCCACGACAAGCAGCTCCAGTAGCACGACTCCTCAGGCGGGTACGCGACGCAAGCCACTCTCGTGCCTGCTGTTTTGAGACAGGCCCGCTTCGTGAAACGAGACCCAGAGGAACGCCAGCAGACTCAGCACCCCCAGCTCCAGGGTCGACAGCACCAGCTCCAGGGCCTCCAGCCCCAGTACCTCCAGCTGCAGCACCCCCAGAACCGGCACCTCCAGCTCCAGGGTCTCCAACTCCAGGGTCGACATCACCAGCTCTAGGGCCTCCAGCCCCAGTACCTCCAGCAGCAACACCCCCGGAACCGACACCTCCAGCTCCAGGAGCAGCACTAGTCCCGGCAGCTCTAGTACCTCCAGTACGAGCACCTCCAGGACCAGAGACACCAGCACTGCCAGCGCCTCCACGACAAGCAGCTCCAGCAGCATGACTCCGCAGGCGGGTACGCGACGCAAGCCACTCTCGTGCCTGCTGTGGTGAGACAGGCCCGCGTCGTGAAACGAGACCCAAAGGAACGCCAGCAGACTCAGCACCCCCAGGCTCTGCACCGCCCGGCACCTCACGGACGGGCTCAGCACCCCTAGACTTTGCAGCCGCAGGCTCAGCACCCCCAGGCTCTGCACTCCCCAGCACCTCATGCGCAGGCTCAGCACCCTCAGAAGCAACACCCCCAGCAGTACCTCCCGCAGCAGCACCTGAGTCGCTAGTGGCCTCTACAGCCTCAGCCAAGGGGGGCGGGTCTCCCTGAGACACACCTGAAGGAGCAGGACCCTGAGGCGGGAGGGGGTCTACCAGAGGGGGACCTGGAGCGAGGAAAAGCGGCGGGGGAGGGAGAGGGGCAGTGCGGTAGGGGAAGAGACGGTAGAAAGGAACCGACTCGTCAAAGGTGACGTCCTGAGAGGGGAAGACACGGCGCAAGGTGGGGTGGTAAAACTGCCAGCCAGACGCGTCAGGGACAAAGCCAAGGAAGACACAGGGAATGGTGCGGGAGGAGAGCTTGTCCGCAGACGTATTGCGG